TCTCCTTGGTCTCTAAAAGCTGCTTTTACAAAGCACATTAAAGGCCCAACCCAATACTTCTGAGCAGCAAAGTTCTTTGCTGAATGTTGGGAGTATACTCATAAGCACCTCAGCCAGGTTATCAGCTCAAGTTTACATTTTTGGGGGGGTTTAGGCAGCAATAACCACCTCACAGATATAGAAAGTACTCAGCGGATCTCACCAGCTCCAAGTTGGGGTGTGAGAGAGGAAGAAAAAACCCTGTAGTTCCCATGGTAATACCATGAGGCGTACAAAAGGTGTCTATGAGTGCACAGTAAACTCCTCCTCGGAGGTTTTATTACTATGAAACCTAATGCTTCCTCACTGAAAAGAAATTTTCATTATATAAAGGAGATAATTGGGAGGAAAAAAGACAATTCACATTTTATGACTGGCCATAGATGAACAACATTTAATGTCCAACAGTCTACGCTGCACCAAAATCAGCCACTAATGACTGGAAAATTCACTGCATAAACTACTGAACCTGAACTGGTGGGGTGTTCGTTTAATTTCTGGTGGCAAGAGAGAACACGGCAGGGAGAGAAAAGAAAGGGAGCACTTAGTCCCGGCTCCCAGCGCAGCAAAGCAAGTTCCCCCCCAATGGCTGGCCGAGCAGGAACAATGCACAACAGCCCAGCCCTGCCAACTTTGCTGAATTATAACTCCTGCTACTTAGTTTAATTATTGCACATACACTGCTTGAAAACTCCATTTGAACACCAGCTTCTAATTGGAGAAATTACTCTGGGCATGACTGAAGGGTTATTATGAAGTTTGGTCACTTCTTTCCAAGCAGTAGCTACAAAAGGGCATGGCCCTTCCACAAAGCCCTCTCAAAGATGTCCATTGTCCGAGACACAGAAAGTAAGTGTAAGAGATACAGAAGGAAGTCTCAGCTGGGAACGCAAAAGGCATGAAGACAAGGTGGAGCCTCCTTCTATACCAGCGGCACCTTGCATAGAAGAACTGAAAGACAGGGGAAAAAAAAATCCAGCTTCCAGGATGACAAATGTTAGTGGGTGCAAATGGAAGGTGTGTCAAAGAAGGAAATCTTATTAAATGTTAACGCTCATTAAAGACTTAGGTTGCAAAAGCCTTGCAAAAACACAAGAAAGCCTCAAATCACTCTTACCAAAGACAACGAATTTCATCACGGGAGCTATAGGTTTGCACAGGGTTTCCTTGACCCTCTAAATCAGCATATCTACTGTGTGCTGGTTTGGGGAGTTTATTTGCTTGTGGTTCCCAAAGCTTCCCCTGTGGCCAACTTAAAAACCCAGATACACCCACCAACTTCCTAATGTGCAAGTAACTCTGATCACTGCAAACATGGATGCTGAGCAAGGGTTTATGGCATAACCATGTAATTTATGGAAACAGAAAAGTAAGTTTTAAAGTCACACATGAAACACTTCATCCCCTGTGTCCTCAAGCTCTAAGCTGTCAGCACTGAAGTGGCTTTCTGATGTGCTTCATATTCCTGCCCTATTCTGTGGTATGGTCTAATTTTACAATTCAAAAGTTGAAATTCTGGATGCTGGAATCTCACAAGGATTTCTATCCATTTACTTTCTGTCTCAGATACACCCTCACCGAGTACACTAGGACTGTCCAGACCCCGTTAACTGCAGATTACCCTTTCATGCATTTTTCAGTATCAAGCCACGGTGACTTAAATGTGGGAAGACTAGTCAGAGATGAGTCTCCTCCTGGTTTACAGATTACAGTCCCAACAGCAGAAAACATGCTATGCATATTAGAGCTCTAGCATTCCCTCCTCCTCAAAAGGTACATTTTCCCTCCAGTTAATATGTGTGTGGCCATCACAACCCATTACTCATCAGACCAGCCTTGGCTCTGAACTGCAATGAACAAGAAACATCAGCAATGCCAGCAAAGGTTTGAAAGTCAGGCTGCAGTTGTAATTTCTGGGTCACGTTAGCACTTGACAATGCATGTGAAGGGAAGAGTTATTCAAAGCTCTCTGGCACCTGTACCTGGAGGTAGCACAGCTGAGAAGAGGAGGCATCTCTGTCCCTTTCCCCCTGCCAGGCAGCAGTGGGAAGCTGGGATGCTCTCCCTACACCTCTCCAAGCAAGACAGGCAGCTCATCCTCCAGTTACCCCATCCCAGTCAGGCTGCAGGGGCAGAAAGCTGCCCCCTCCTTTCTGCAAGCAGCCAACCAGCCAAGAAAAAAGGGAAGAACTGGCCCCTGGGCAGCCACAGCATTGCCTGGGTACCCCAGTGGCCCTGGGGTGCAGAGAAAGACACCTCAGGTCAGCCCCACGCACCTCTCTGCTACACCCAGTCCATGGCAGCTCCCTATTTCCCAAACAGCACTGAGGTTACTGGCTGGCAAACAGCAGTTTCACCTTCATTAAAAATACCATACCACTTTTTCCCCTTGACCCCATCAGTTATTTATTAATAGTAGTAAAATATTACTGTTCTGCACCTCCCAACAGGCAGGTTTTCCTCACAGCCCAAGACACCCACCACTTCTTTTTTAAAGGCTTTTCCTTTCTGTCTGTAGATGTACTGTTTGCTGCCTTAATGTTACAAAGTGGAGAACAAAGTGTGAGAGAACTCCTATATAAAGTCACAGCCATTTACACATGAGGCAGCTAATTATGTTGAAAATACAATTACACAGATTTAAGCAGATGCTCATGCGCCAGGCCCCTTACTCTGACAATCCTTTTACAGTAAGTGCAAGTTGAATCTACTTAGATACAAGACCTGGAATATCAGTGTGGGAGTGGAAAAAAGGCAGTGAAGAAAGGAAAAAAGAATCAGTTGCTCCCATCCCATTTATCGCAGCTAAGGACACTGCGCAACAGGTCCCTGCTCTTCTTTCATAGCGTTTAATCACATACAGAGAGCCATTTGCTATTTTTAAAGTCAAATGAAAACTTTTGGCTCCAGTCTTTTGTAAATTTGCAGTGAAGATAACCCCCAAGGAACACACGTTATTTACACACCGGGGAGCTTACTTATTAACGGGAACTTCGAGCAAAAGTTGTGTTTCCCATTTCAAAACATGCTGCAAAGACCTGTTTACATTCCTTGCCTGGCTCTAGGAACGTCAGGATCAGAGAGCACCCTTTCATAGCCCTCCTGCATAGCAGGCTGAGGAATGCCACCCGATGGGTAGGCTCCAGGACACCCCAAAAATCAAATACTGATCTTTACACTCTGTCAGGTGATAGTGCCCATTCAAAAGCTCCTTGGTACAACTGGAGCCAAAAAGCCCACATAAACTACATTGAGCAGCTAGCACTAAACACTGTCACTATCTCTACGTTTACCCCCACACTTTGTTGCAACAGTAAAGGTGAAAAGGATTTAACAGCCTTGGGTGGAAAGCAGAACACACAGGTTTTCTCCCCTTGTTTGCTGGCCATGGACAGCAACTCCATCCAAACCTCCAGCACAACACAAGTCCACTACCCAGGTTCTTACCCTCTTCTAAATACTGGTGGGACACAGAAAACTTCTATCACCAGAACAGTGTTAACCACCTGTTCTCCAACGCTCTTGTCATCAGAGGTTCAGAGGAAATTTCACTACAATGAGGAAAAAAAGGTCCAGCAGCTCATTTTCAGATGGGCAGCTTGTCCTGAGCTTCCCTCTGGGCATGGAAGAGATGGTGATATTTGAATAAGCTTGATGGGGAAATAGTGAGTGACAGAGAAGTCTCTTGCACAGTTTTAGGGCACAACACTGCCTATGAGTAGAAGTGACCAGACTATTCCAGATCTGAAACCTGTTCCAGCTGCCCATTGCACAAGACACAGATGACAGAAACTGTGCATAAGGAGAAGACAGTTTCCCTCCCCATCAGCACTGCAGTGGCTGTGAGGAGCCACGAGACTTTAATACCAACAAACCCTCAGTTTGTCTTTTCTCCATAAGAGAAGCCGCTGTGTTTCAAGCTGTGAAGGCTGGAAGTTACCTTAAATCCTAAGGAAAACTTCAGCTCTATTGTTCTTCACAGCTCCCCAGAACATGCACCAAATACCCACAGATTTATTTCATAGAGGTGGGGTTTTCACATCAAAATAAGTGCTGCAAACATTCTTCCTTTCCATGCTAGGATTTCCATCTTTCCTGAAGAAGATCCAGGATGAGATGTGCTCCTTCCGAGGCTGCCCTGCCCACAGGTGGGATTCCCCTGGGGGATCACACCTTAACTCCAATCTTCAGCCCACCACGGCACAACGGAATTGCCATTTACTGCTCCAGAAGCCACCTGCCTCCCACCGCAAAGAAACCCCCGCACATTCCTCATCTCCTACTGCTAGTTCTTGCCACAGAAAACACCTCCACAGCAACACTGTGACAGAAGCTACCCAGTCAATCCAAGTATAAATTGAGGTATCGGTTTAGCAAGCCTAGAAATGTTGAAACGAACTTTTAAAGTTTTTAATGCTAGAAGTCGTTATTTTTAATGAACTGATACAAGTTCAGTTAAAAGCCTGCACTCTTTGGAAACGCTAGCAGTTATCCCTGAACCCTGTGGAGGTCTCGTAGCTCAGGAGGGTGCTGGATCGCCCTGTAGCGAATTGCCGGAGACAAGCACGCCTGAGGAGCGAGCGGCAGAAGCTGGCCCGCGGGCCAGCAGACACCTCACCCTGCAAGGGTTACCTCCCAGAGTTACACTTTAAGCTTTAAACCTCGCCCAGCTGAAGGTAAGGGGGACACTCACATCTCCAGCCCGACCCTACAGCTGTCGCCTGTAGCTACTCCGCCGAACCACCATTACTTGCAGCGCATCCCTGCATCGCCGCCGGTCCTGCCCCGGCTCACCTCTTTCGCGCCCACCCGCTTTTGGGGTCCCAAATCCCGTGCCGGGGAGAGGTCCTCCCTTTCCGCCCGCCGGGCGCTCCGCGGGGCCGCCGCAGCTCTCCCCCTGCCGTCGTCCCCCCCATCCGCCTGGAGCTGAGACACCCCCCCAGAGCCCCTCCGGCACCTACCCAGGCACTTGATGTGGAAGCCGCTGGGGGGCTTGAGGGAGCGGCGCGCCCAGCCCTGCCGCAGCACCTCCAGGTGCTCCTCCTTGCCCTGCACCAGCAGCACCTGCTCGTCGATCCAGCCCAGGAAGAAGGTCTCGGCCACCGCCGCCGTGGCCCGCCGGTCCCAGAAGTGCTGCATGTTCTCCCGCTTGAAGTCCGCGAAGATCTCGTAGCCGATCCGGTGGCGGCCCAGCTCCGCCGCCGGCCCCGCACCGCCGCCGCCGCCGCCGCCGCCACCACCGCCCGGCCGTCCCCCGGCCGCGGCGCCCAGGACGATGGCCAGGGAGTGCGGGGCGATCTGCAGGCAGCGCTCCGCCCGGCGCGGCATGGCCGCTCAGCGCCCGCCGCCGGGCATGGGCATGGGCATGAGCATGGGCACAGGCACGAGCACGGGCAGGGACATGCCTCCCCTCCCCGCGGCCGCGCTGCCTCCCGCGGCAGCCTGTCCGTGCTCCGCGCCGCTCCGCCCCCGGCGCGGCCCGCTCCGCCCCCGACACAGCCCCGGCTCCGCGCGGTCCGGCTCCGCGGTCGCAGGGGAGGCGTTGTCCCGCGCCGCCGCGTCCCGGCCGGGAAGCCCGCACCCAACGGCCCTGTCCTAGTGCGGGAGCACCATCCCCAGGAGCGCAACGAGCCCGCTGCGTGTCCCGGGTGGTGCTGTAGCTTCTCGGCACCTCCGGGTACGGAAGACATCACCCTTCCCTTCCCCGTGTGAAGCACAGGGGCATCCCCCAGCCACTGCGCCATTGTCCCTGCCAGTCTCACGGTCGCTGTAGCTGTGCTTCCTCCAGCAGTTACACTGCTGCAGGTGAACTACTCAGTGAGCAGCACTAGCCCTGCTGCGACCAAATGACCATACCCTTCTTCTTCATCCACAGGAATCATAGAATCATAGAACAATTTGGGTTGGAAGAGACCTTAAAGATCATCTGGCTCCAAACCCCCTTACATGAGCAGGGACACCTTCCACTAGACCAGGTTGCTCAAAGTCCCATCCAGCCTGACCTTGAACACTTCCAGGGATGGTGCAGCCACAGCTTCTTTGGGCAACCTGTGCCAGTGCCTCACCACCCTCACAGTAAAGAATTTCCTCCTAATGCTTAATCTAAATCTCCCCTCTTCCAGGATAGTCATTCCTCCTTGTCCTGTCATTGCAGGCCCTTGTAAAAAGTCCCTCTCTAGATTTCTTGCAGGCCCCCTTTAGGTACTGGGAAGACTGTTAATAGGGTCTTCCATGAGCCATCTCTTCTCCAGGCTGAGCAAGCCTGAATCCTGCATCACCTTGTATCTGGGGTGTACTGAAATCTGAGCATGGTGGAGCAACTCCTAACTTCTATGGCTTTTATCCAGCAGTTTACTATTTTGCCTCTCCTGTGCTCCAGGTCACCGACTGCCCATGAGGCTCGAGGGAGAGCTCAACAAAAACAGGTGAGATGCAAGCAGAAACAGAGGGGTCCTTCCCAGCACAGCCCGACCTGGGGGGTGCGTTAAGGTGGCAGCAAAGAGCCAGTTACTTGTGAGAAGGCAGATTTGGGAATTGCACCCTTATCTTCCATAGAAACCCCCAAACCCGCAGCAAAGCTGAGTCTCAGTTCTGAAAACATGGCTTGAGCTCCTGAAGTGGCTGTAGCTTTTGGCCACCTTGGTGCTGTGCAGACCATGCAGGTGGCTCCAGTGGCCCCCTCGCCTTGCCCCATGGAGCAGGGGAGAAGGCAGCGAAGCATGGGAATGCACCGGGAAGGCAAAGGACACAAGGAAGAAAACTGTGCCATAGAAAAGAAGAGCAAGAAGAGAAAGGAGTGGGAGGATAGAGGAAGCAGCAGCCACTCTGCTGGGCAGTGGTATGAGAGCTGGTGCAGGCACCATACTGCACTATGTACAGGATACAGTGTCTCCTCCTGAATTCACTCATATCAACATCCCTGGGCACTTTTGTCCCTTTAACTGTTTCCCATTCAGTTTTCACCTCTTTCAAGCCCTGTGGCATTCTCCATCTGGTTTCATCCAATTCATTCTCCAGGGCACTGTTTAACAATCATGTTCTTCTGATATCTCCACTCCCTATTTTTGGGGTTTCATCCAGTGCTGTCTAGGCACTGGGCTGAGGAATATCAAATATACCAGCATCCTAAAGAGTTTTGAGAGGAGACAGTTTGTATGAAACCAACTTTACCAAAGGGGAAATCAGAGGTAAAATAAATTATTCAGAATCACTGTGAGTCATTTCAACCCAGGAGCAGAACCTGTTAATGCTGGCTTGCCAGTCTCTAACCCCTTCCCAAGTGTCCATCCCAGCACGATCTCTAGAGGCCCCTCACCTCAGCCAGCAGTAGTTTTGATGGTGCTGCTGTCAATATTTCAAAGGAACACTTTCATGCTCTCATTCATCCCTAAGCTTTGCAAGAGGACCTTCCTCTGCATCCTCATTGTCCTCAAAACTGCTGCCCAAAGTTCACCTGAGCCACTGATTGCCTGTTAAAAGAGGTAGTCTTAGTATGTTGAAACTACTGTCATTATCTTGTCATACTTGTGTTATTCTTACCTTGTGCTTTCCTCCTCTCTGTATTATACCAGCCTTTTATCTTGCCCATCACACTTGCATTTCAGTTCTCCTAGGCAGGGTTCACCTTTGTGTTGCCTTTGTGTGGAGCACATCATTGACATCTCAGCTGCTGATCAGAGTCACCAGGTAACTTAAGGGTTCAGATGGGTTTTCAGTTTGTATTCCCATCTGCAAGAACAAAAGAGCCAAATTACGCCTTTCGACTGACTTTAAGTTTCTGCACCAGATATGTACTGAGCATTTAGATGTGGGACCCCACATTTCGCCCACAGCCCCCCAAATCGCAATTACCCAATCTGTGATCCTCCTGCTGCTTGTGGACAAAGCACATGTTCTGTGCAGCATGCCTGGCAGCCTTTGGACATGCCATCAAGAGTTGCTGCCTTCATTAGCTGAGCTTCTTTTTCATTCAGTGTTAGTTTCTGAAACAACTGGTGTGGCAAAACACTCCATGCAGTCTTTTCCTCCCCTCTCAAGGCATTTGCAGCAATACTTGTGGGCTGTCAACATCTTCCCTACCCGTGGCTTGTTCTCCTGTAAAGGCTAGTCCTCAACCTGCTAATCCTCTCCCACCCTGCTTTCATCACCCCTTCATTCACACCCCTTGGTGCCTCTGCCCTGTGCTTGCAGGATGGCCCTCTGCTCCTTCCTTCCCTCCCTCCCTCCCTCCACTGGCACGCTACCCCTTCCACAGCTTGCACACATGTAATGTCACACACAAGGTTAATGACAACGTAAAGGAGGAGTGTACGCTATGATTTGTCCAAACCACGTTGGATGGAGCACAGTGATTGTGGCAGAAGTCAAAATACACCATGCAATAGGGTGCTGTCCCTGTAAAAGGCAGTGCTAGGATTGCCTGAGTAGGACCTCAAGGCCCAAGTTAAGAGACTCCCCTTGTTTCAAGGACCTGGGGAAAAGCTGTGGATAAGGAGTATGTACTCAATAAACTGTTCATTATTGCCCCTTTTGGCCTCCATCTCATTACTGCTTCAAACAATATTTTTTTCCTCTGAATTTTTGATTGTTCAGTTTATTTTTGTTTATTTACATTTTGTTCCTTGCTGGTTTGGGGTTGAACAACACCTCCTTCATTTTCATTCGCTCTCACTTCAAGGGATTTTTTCCAAGCAACCAAGATCTATAGCCTGATTAAAGCCAATCTGGTATTTGCCTGTAGAAATACAAGTGGGAAGACAGCCTGCAATGTTCTTATGGCCAGGTAATGAAGTTGGGTGAAATGGAACTCCTAAGAGGCTCAAAGTGCTTGGAAAGGCAAAAATTTACCTTGCTAGCAGAGCAAAACCCCTGAAGATTTAGACACGTCTCTGAAATACATCAGAGTGCAGAGGTCTGCATCAAATGGCCTTGTTTGTCCTAAGTAGAGCAGGGAGCCAAGCCAAGCTGACACAGCTGTGTTGCCCGGCTGTCTGTACTGGTCTGGAGCTCAGGTGTGGTACCTATGTCTGCTGCAAATGTCACCTTATTAAAACCCCCCTGGGAAAAGAATGGAAAGGAAGGGCTGGGGTGAAATGTATGTATTTAATGGCTTTTGTGCATCCTTGATTTGTACATAAAGTAAGGCAAGTTACACAATTTCACAGCCTATGTAGTATGTCAGCATGTGTTCTGCTTCAGATGCCGTATTCAGGCAGTAAGGCAGCAAGAGCCTTACTTGGGATTTCTTCTGTGAGAGGTTCTGAAGAAGTATTTCCTGTCAGGAAACTGTTTTTTAATATCTACTGGTTTTATGCAGGAAAAGTTATACTTTCCCTCCCTACTGTCTGTTCGCTGGTGTTACATAGTGAGAGTCCGGCACAGCTCCCAGCTGGGTCACCTCCTTCCCAGGAAGAAGCTGTGCTACGGAGGTTTTCAGGAAGTTGTGTCTGCCAAGAAACTGGCAGGTACAGGATGGATTTTAAAGACATTTCTGTCAGGGCTTTTTCTGAACATAGCTGCATGTATTCCCATGTGGAAGGCTGACTGAAGCTGGAGACTCACTGGCAGCCCAGTGATGCAAAGCACTGCGTAACTGCCATCATCAAATATGGCCCTTACTGCAGCCCTAGCGAGGCTGGACCTTACAGACACCAATAACACATTTGGAGAACAGTTGCCACTCCTCCTGCCCCAGTCAAGAGCTACATAAGCCCCACCAGACTTCCTCAGACACAGAGTCAATGTAAACTGGCTTTGGCTTCGGCTTCGGCTTCTGGCTTTGCTGCTGCAGGTGTGCAAAAGGGCCAGGATCAGGTATGCCAATAACACACAGGCCTGATGCCTTTCTGGTCATATCCTGAGAAGCAGTCTCAGAACAGTGAATGCTCCAAAACAATGGAGATCATGAACAGTAAATGGTGACCTGCATCTAGGAAAATCAAGATGGTAGAAGTGGTGTGATAGTAGTTATTCCTTAAAACTCTGCCCAGAAGCTTGGCAGCCATATATATATATATATATATGTATATATATTTTTACATTTGCCTAGTTTGCATCACATGAAGACACTGATGTGCCACCAAGAATTCCTAAAACAGCACCTCATTTAGCTTTACCCTTCTGTTGTGATAACCAGGTTTTATTATATGTGGATAATAATACTTCTCACGTTTGTAAAGTTCCTTGAGACTTGCTATTAAAAACCATACTGGGAATGGCTGCTTGACAGCCTCTGCTCTGGTAGAAGCTAAGTATTTCTGCCCTTGGTCCTGTCCTGCTGTCCTCCATCAAGAAGGCCTGCTCAGAAGTCCTTGCTCAGGCAGAGCTCCTAGTGAAGTCAATGGGAGTTTCCTGTGTGCAAAG